GGCCGCAGAGGCCGGGCGGGCGGGGGGCGCGGCCTCCACCTCGGTGGGTGACTCTGGCGAAGGTGGGGCTCATGGTTGTCGGCATCAGGAGTGAAGGTGGGAACCGTGTGCGGGCTGGGCCCGCAGGTGGGTCTGAAGGTGGAGACTGGATGGGACCAGGAGGGAGGCGGAGGCTGGACCAGGGGGGTCCCTGGGCTGTGCCGTCAAACACATTGAAGCAGGAGACAGAGCCGGGAGCGCCGAGGGCACTGCTGGTTTTTGTATGTTTTAACTATATTTTGAAATATCTTAAAACAACATTTCCATTTACAGTACTGTGCACCGGTGTACGGGAAAGGAGTTTGCCCTTTAAGTTGTATAGATTGATTTCTTTTTTAACTTTAGGTTTTTCCTGATCCTTAAATATTTCAGTAGGAATCTTCTTAAAATTTGAGAAAAGCTACCGAATAAGTTTGCTAGGTGGTAGATGTGAGAAAAAGTCTGACAAATTGCGGGTGAGTTAGAGTGGAGACTGGGGGTGCTTCAAGGGGAGGGGAGGAGCTGAAACGGAAGACAGGAGTAGAACAGAAACACGTGTGCTCCGTCCTCCCAGGTGCAGTAGTTCCCCCTTATCTGGAGGGGATGCATACCAAGATCTCCAGTAAATGCCTGAAACCACAGATGCATATATACTATATATATTACGTTATTATACTGTGTATGTTATTTCCTAGACATATATACCCATGATAGAGTTTAATTTATAACTTAGGCACAATAAGAGATTAACAACAATAATAAGCCCTGGCTGGTGTGGCTCAGTGGTTAGAGTGTCGGCCCAGGCACTGATGTTCACGGTTTGATTCTGATCAAGGGCACCTACCTGGGTTGCATGTTCACTCCCTGCCCCTGGGTTGGGGTGAATGCGGGAGGCAACCAGTTGATTTGTCTCTCTCACATCGATGTTTCTCTCCCTCTTCCTCCCTCCCTTCCACTCTCTCTGAAAAGCAGTGGAAAAAATATCCTCAGGTGAGGATTAATAAAACAAAACAAACAAAAAACTAATAATAAAATAGAAGAATTATAACAATATACTGTATTAAAATTATATGAATGTGGTCTCTCTGTCTGATAAGTGCTCTAATAATTGAGGTGATTATTAAGTGACTAACAGGCAGGTGGCATATACCGTGTGGATATGCTGGACAAAGGGATGATTCATGTCCCAGCCAGATGGCGTGAGATTTTATCATGCTACTCAGAACAGCACACAATTTACAACTTATGAATTGTTTATTTCAGGAATTTTTCATTTAATATTCTCCAATCACAGCGGGTAACTGAAACTATGGAAAATGAAACCTCAGATAAAAAGAGACTACTGTATGTCTTGCTTTTGTTGTACTGAATAATTGAGCATTGGCTCTAGCTTTATTCTTTCCATGTAGATAATTCCATAAGAATGGAATATCTGTGTGGAATTAATAAGTTGATTTGATTGTATTCACAAAGGTAAAGAGGCCTTTCCCTCTTAGCTCAGGGAATGGAGAATCCGAGCCCCATTATCATTGCTTAAGAATTAATACAAATTACAATTTATTGAGCTCCTGCTAATTATCAGACACTCCGACTTTTGCAGACACTGTCTTTTTTATCTGTACAGTCATCCTAAGGGATAATTATGGTTATCCCTATTTTGCAGATAAAGAAACAGACTCAGAGGGACTAAATGACTTGCCCAAGGTTATCTTGCTCTTACATGCAGATGTCACCCTGAGCACAGGCCACGTTGGTTTCAAGGCTGGTGGGCCTTTTCCCACAGTATACAACACAGGGGAGTCTGGAATGCTGAGAGAGTCTTCCAGAGTTATGGCAGCGTCTGAAATGTTTATCTTACTTGGTTCTTGCTTATGCAAAGGATTTCAGTGCATTCCTGCTCCAGAATAACTTACCCCTGGGGAAAGGAGTTTGTTATTGTAAATAACTACTGACTTCTCACATCCTTTGTTCCACCCTCTCTCCACCTCTGCCAATCAGGCAGGTTTATATAAAGGCGGTGGTTCATTTAGACTGCAACTAATATTTCCTGTTTTTTTTTTTCTTTAGAGTATTGTAAGATGGAACCAAATTATTGCTGTTTTCCACTATTATTCTTGAGCTATCTTTTGATATTTCAAGTTCAGGCTATTCTTGAAAGAAATAATGAAACCACTTAAGTTATAACTCGTTACCTGTTGAAAATTTCAGGAACTTTAGGAAAAAAAAAAAAGAAAAATCTAGTTAATCTGATAAAAGAAAATAAAAATATAACAATTGTGTACCCTGTATTCTTGAAGAGATGGCAAATTATAATGAATTAAACATAAAGATAGGATTTAAAATACTAATTAAGTTATAATTTCAATCATTGCTCACCTAACAGTGGAAAAATTAATGAGAAAAAATAATTTCAAGCTCTATCCTTTATTTCTCCTTTTTTTTCCCCCATTGATTCAATAAATATTTATTGAGTCCCTACTATGTGTCTGGCCTAATTTCTGCAGTCTGAAAGCTGAGCCCTAATTTTTTAATGTTCCACATATACTCAATGTCAAAATGCTAATTAAGAGCACAGATAGAATTAAAACTCGACATGATTTTTATTAATTATCAAAACCAAATAGATCAATTTATGAAAGGATCTTTGGAGAGGAAATATGATGTCTTTCAACTATCTAGATGATGTCCATAATGGACATACATATTAAGCTCTGTGCGGGAAATTTTTTTAAAAAGCATCTAAGATTTATTTTCCATATTAACTCTCTATTCCAGATCTCTTTACTAGTATACTCCAGCCTCCTCCCATTTTCACCTCCTTTCATACTCCTTCCTAGTCTTCCTCTCTAAATCCTAGATGCTCTTTATTCATCAGTGTTTCTGAATTCTTTCTTAACAACCACTGGAGCTCTATTGTTCTTCTAAATTGCTAAAACACTTCTATAGGCTAAAACACTTCTGATGGCCCTTGAATTA